GTTCCTCTAACACTAGGGTCGTAGTGTATCTCGCCAACGTCGTTCCTCTAACACTAGTGTCGTAGTGTATCTCGCCAACGTCATTCCTCTAACACTTGGGTCGTAGTGTATCTCTCCAACGTCGTTCCTCTAACACTTGGGTCGTAGTGTATCTCGCCAACGTCGTTCCTCTAACACTTGGGTCGTAGAGTATCTCGCTAACAATGTTCTCAGGTATGCCAAAGAAGGAGAATGATATGTATTATCAATGCAGATTGTTAGATCTTTTGTTTCAATGCCATGTTTTCCAGATGTAGATTGTATTTATTATTTTTTAACTTCAGGCCAGTGGGTGTCTTTGAATGGGAAAACTATGCCAAAGGTACTAAAGCTGTTATGGATGAAGTCGTAGCAGTAACACAGAAAGGAGCTACAACTATTATTGGTAAGTTAAAACATTTATTAAGTTCTGCTATATTAATTTATGGTCTGTAATTTTTTCCGCTCACCATATGGGAAAACAACGAAATGTTTTTTTTATATTAACATTAAGAGCTACACAGCAACTGTTACAAAAGGACCATTTTTTTTTCTTCTCTAGGTTATAATTGTGGTAATGGTAGAGGGTTCCCTCTGTAGCCTTGGACTCTTTTTCTGTACAGCTGTTCTGTTATTTCTATTCTTCCAAAAGGTTAAGTTTCAAAATCACTAAATTTTAATTGTACTTCTTTAAAAAACTGTATGTATTGTTATCAGAATTAATCTATTTGATGATACAGCATCCTGGTATTAATGTTGGAAAGACTTGTTTCACGTGTGGTTCCAAAGACATGGTGCAAACTCAAACTCAAATGAAAAATTAGTGGGGTTGTTTGTGTCTAAATACTTGATACTCTGTACTCCAAAACTGATTCTTGAAATCTCTAAAATTGAGTCTAAAAATGTTAATATTACTTAACTAGTTAAATAAACACGTATATTGTGTAGTAGTTAGTTTTGCTAATGTCGGCTTATACTTTTAACTTGGATAGCTAGATTGGAGAAGAGCAATAAAAAAATTATGAAAGGAGAGAGAGAGAAGAGTTTCCTAGAGTTAGTATAACTTTATTTCTTGTTTCTCAGGTGGCGGTGACACAGCCACGTGCTGTGCTAAATGGAAAACTGAAGATAAAGTGAGCCATGTCAGCACAGGGGGAGGAGCTAGCTTAGAACTTCTCGAAGGTAAGGGTTGGACAAAATAAAGCATGAAAATTTAGCCATCTTTTTTTCACAGAAAGTCATTATTTGGGAAGGAAATCACTGTAAAATTGTTTTATTTAACGTACGAGCTCTGTAATATATTCTAGTTGGTGGAGCCGAACTACAAGTGGCCTCTGTACTTTTTATAGTATACCATGTTGTTCATCGTAATAGTGGGACTCTTACCAGATATTATGATATCTTTATCTGTGTGTGTGAGACAGAGAGCTGTGAGCGAGGTATTCGGAGCACAGACTTTAGTTGTTTTATATTTATTTTTAGGTAAAACACTTCCTGGAGTAGCTGCTCTCTCTGATGCTGCCTGAAGATCAGTAAGGATGGTGTGCCACCGTTTGTTCCAAGAATGGTTGATATTGTTTTCATATCGGTGGTCTCTTCTGTGCAACTTTCTACTGGAAAATTTGACATCAAAGATTAAAATTCACACACACACACGTTTAGCTAAAAGTTGCTATTAGCTTGCTAATTACTGATGTACAAACTATGTCCTCTTTGTGCTGTACGGGCAGACTTTTATCTGTTGTTCCGTAGTAGATTGCTTTTCTCAGCTCTTTAGGCTTAATAGAATGTTTAGTACCGAAGAAAAATCATTACTTTATTGTTTAAAATATAATCTGGAAATATGTATACTTAATGAAGAACATACGCATAGCTTTTGACTTGAATATAATTAGTTCTTTCAAAAGTGAAAACTATGAATGTAGTTACACATCTCTGAAAAAGTCTACTGTAAGCAATAGTGATAATTAACTACTTGCTTTTACAAAGTATCATACGAATTATGTTCATTTGTAATATACATCAGATGCTTTGAGTTATATTAGATTAAGATTTTTTTAAACAAAATCATTTCAATATTGTAATTGTATTAATTTTTTGGTTCTACTATGAAAATGTTTTTAAGTAATCATTGTTTGAAAGTTCCAGATTATCTTTTCAATTTAATTGAAACAGAAAGTACTTCAAATGCTCTTATCAATTTTATAGGATGTATATTGTTTGATAATACAGTATTATGCATTTATCTTTTTCAAGAACTGTAAACTTCCATTGACCATTAGATAGGACTCGGGTACACAAATGAGTTATTAAAAATGAGTGCTGTTTAATTTGTTAGTAGATAGCTTTAGTTATCAGTGTAACTTGTAAAATTCACACTTACACTGTAATTATATTTTAATTTTCTAACGAAGTCATGAGTTTAAATAAGTAATCAGACTTGTATTCAGACTGCTGTTCAGAAAAACATCTTTGTATTTAACATGTTTAGTTTGGTTTTACACAATAAACAGAACTGTGTTTCGTTTAAATGTACTGTGATGTTTCTTGTTATATAATTAAATTTTGTTATGTTAGTGACACATTTAAGGAATATGAAAGTCACATACAGCACGTGGTAGTTTTAAGTGTTGGATAGTGAGTGCGTTATATTTGTTTGTTTATGAAGAAAGTCATTCTGATTACATTATGCGTATTTTCACATTTTTCTATCAAGTTACACATGTACACAAGCTTAGTGGTTAGGGCACTCGCCTTGAAATCAGCGGGTCACGAGTTCAAATTCATTTACATTTTCAGCCATGGAGACGTTATAATGCGACTCCTAACTCCACTTTTCCTTGATAAGAGTTGGTATTAACTAGCTCTCTTTCTTCTAGTCTATCACTTTTAAATCAGTGTAGCTTTGTGCAAACAATAAATGTGCTATATTTTTACTGGATTAATTTTTATTTAGCTAGGTTGGTTCAATCAGAAGTTATTAATATTTAACATTTTAAAAAGTTATTCTGCAGAGCTTATAATTAATTTGGTTAATCATAAAAAATTTGCACTCTTATGCATTTATGATAAACAGTGACAATAATAAAGTTAAAGTGTATGTCATCCAGAAACTAGCATCAGTTCCAAAGGCCTCAGCTTTGCAGAGCTTACTAATTTTTGAGAAAATGTGTGCATGTAAAAGACAAAGAGCTGGTAATAATTTAAATCGGAACATGGAAATCCTCTTTACATTTAATAATATGAGAAAACTTTGGTCTATCTTCATTAATTATGTCACTTCTTGAAGTGATTGAAATACTAGTGTTCTGTAACTTTATGGAAGGTACTGTAGGATTTATTGACAGCATATTTAAAACTGCTAGCTAGTGTTGTGTGACTATGGAAGGTACTATAGGATTTATTGACAGCATATTTAAAACTGTTAGCTATTGTTGTGTGACTTTATGGAAGGTACTATAGGATTTATTGACAGCATATTTAAAACTGTTAGCTATTGTTGTGTTAC